GGGATGGAGATGGGGCCAGAAGAGATGGGAGGGGTGTTGGGGGAGAGGACTAATGTGAATGGGAGTGCGAATGGGAATGGGAATACAAACAAGGGGCATAAGGTGGCGCATAGTGTTGGGTGAGGTTATTGCTAAAGGGCATCGGATGGGATGTTTTTGTAAGGACTCATGGAAAAGGAAAATGGGTTTTTGTCTGAGTGGTATTGTTGGCGTTCATGGTTCGTCATGTACAAAGGGTTTGTTTGTTGCAAGGTCAAAGCATGATTACCTAGTTGGGAGAACGAACTGAATAGCAATGGACTTTTTTTCATTTAAGCAAGCATCCCTTTAAGGATAAACATCCATAAATCAAGGGGGGGGGGAAAAGGCGTGGTGACCCGTACCGGATTCGAACCGGTAACTTCTATGCTGGACAGTAAGCCGCATCGCAACACGACAAAGCATCAGCCAAGTAGTGTTGACCATTACACCAACGGGACCACGGGAAGGTGCGCAGGAAAGTGGTCTTATATACCCTAGTCTAGGGAGCCTAGACCCATAGACCGGTGGGAGTTGGGAGTTGGGATGAAGATGCGAGGGGCAGGCAAGGTGGAAGCGGCCGGTCCGGTGAAGCAAATCAATTTGACGAACTCACTGCTGGGGCCACAGAATCAGTCCAGGCCATGGGGGACGGGAAGCGTCATCGCTTCTTATCCATCGTATGCCGAGGGTGAAGGCCCGGGTTCGCCCTTTTTGATAGAGAGAGAGATGAGTGATTCCCAAGGCAGACAGATGGCGATGCCCGACCACGGACGAGGTTAGTCACCGTCCGTCTCGAGCGAGTGTAGTGGAATCGGCCTTCTCAGCTCTAACTGACACCGGGCACTCACCAAAAGAATGGGTCAGTCCGTCGCTCTTCCCTCTTTAGTAGGTCACTCTGTCCCTCCCTTCCAGTCGCTCTTCTTCCCCTTTGAGAAAGGGTGACATTTCAATGGCCTTCCCGCTTCATCCATCAATTCATACGACTTGGGCCGCACGCAGCCACTGCAAAATTTCCTTCCATGCTACCTCTAGCGTAGGTGTGCGGTGGTGAACCCTAGGTACCTAGCCCTCACTCACTGCTGCACCGTACCGTAAAAATGTGTAAGGTAGACGGATCATGAAGGAAAGATTACACTCAATCACTTCCTTTCCTGCTGGTTCTTGATTTCCCAAACGAAGGCTTCCAGTTGTCTGGTAGATATCTAATAGAATGGAATGGCATGGCATGGAATCCTACCTATAGACTATAGTCCACTCGTGAACAGGACTGACTCTCTGTGCCTGCCTGAGTGCTGATAGGGGGAGAGAGCAAGCATATTTGAGCCGGGAGGTCGCAGATTTAGTACCCTTGGTGAGTAGTGTTCATCCTTCCTTTGGCTCGGTTTGTTATTACCTTGTAATAGTCGTGTGTGATTAAATGGCATCAAGAGCTCAACTACCTTAGCTCCCTGACACTTGATCATGTCATGGGTCTTATCTCTTCTTCTTTATGTTTTTGGGACAGACAGCCACGAATATACCTGGGTAGTTGTAGTGGGCTTGTTTGTGCCCTGCCTCGTCAGCTCGTCTAGGTGGAAGTCAATCTACTACTAAGCAATTCTGTCGGGATTTGGTTGGGCCATTATGGATGATGAATGGTGGGGACATGACAGGCAGTCAGTGAACAGAAAAGGAAGTGCTTGAGTGAAATTTATTTCCTTGGCAAGCGAGCATTGTTATTTGTTTCGACTGATCAGTTGTGGAGGGGTGTTTTGTTATACATACGTAGGTACGTGGGAGTACTGACGACGGACGGCGAGTTATCATTCTCTCTCCATCGTAGTTGTAATTCATTCGCCGCATGATTTCAACGGTTTTTAAGAAGCTCTTGGAGTCATTCTCTCTGGTCGCTTCTGACATGATGTTTCTGAGAAGAAGGAGTTCGTAGCTTCTTCTCGCTGGGGAACTTGAGCAGGCTACGCTCAAAAGACTATGGGGGGTTGGCATGGCAGCCTGAGAGAATGGACTTAATATTTTTGAGAACACGAGTGTTTAGTAGCGGCCGGTTTGTATTTTTGGTGAGCTTTGGGTGGAGTCGTTGGAGATGGGGAATTGTGACGTTTGAGCCTCATGTACCGCTGTACATGTTGACCTGAAGACTGGGGTTGAAAGGGGAACATGATATTTACCTTTACCACCTTGTCGTTGAGCGTACCGTACAAGTTCATGAACAAGGTGCGGAATTAAGACCAGGGTTGGTGGGGACCTTGGAACCTTTAACGTGGGGAAAGATCCAGTCACAAAGTCGTGGGTAGGGTTAGATGAGTCTGACTTTCCGCTTAGATGTACGTACTAGTACCGGTACTTTGTCATAACCCTAGTGTTGTCACGGATCAGCCAGGAACTTGTCTGTGATGCTAGCTTGTCACTCAACGTCTACTGACGCCCATTGCCAGTTTTTAGAGCTTGCTGTATTCAGGCTCACTTCCCACCCCGCTCATGATAATTTCTCAAGTTGAAGAGGACTCGGGTATGTACTCTGGGTTGAGGTAGCCGAGTTGTACGTTCTGTTTCAGTTTGGTAGACAGATGTGCGTGTCTTGTTTTGTATACCTACCTCTCCCTTTGAGATGTGGCGCTTGTAGAACGGGAAGCCAGTTGAAGTGTTCAACGGTGCCGTGGTGACAAGGCTACCTCTCTGATTTCTTGTCGTTGAAATTCGGCATTCCGGCTTGAAGCCGGCTCTAGGTAAGAAGTAGCTGGATTGGGGTTTTCGTAATTGATGAGTGATCGTCTAGCATGTGATGTGGCGTGGGTTGTATCGGCCATGTTGAGGGTCCATATAAAAGTCGATAGTCGATATGGTGACACGCAAGAACTGCATGTAGCGAGAGTGCATCGTACCACCGAGGTTTTGGGCGACGGACGGTTGGTTGGTGATTGATGACGGATTTGAGATGGATCGAGATGGAGGTTGGGAGTTAGTTGGCTGCCCTGGTTTACCGACAGGCCGGCATTCCCGTCAGGCTTGATGCTCATCGAAAACTGAGATGGCGATATTTCTCTCGGACATCGAGAAGTGTTGAAACTATTTTCTGACGGGTCATGAATTTGACAGGACGATGAGTGGAAAGAGGTCAGGAATTGACTTGTCGAGGAGGAGAAGCTCTTGGTGGCTGGTGGAGTACAAAGTGCAGACTGCTTGTTTTAGCTCAGTGACTTGTATGCACTATCGCCAGAGGTAGAGAGGAGGTACCGGCCGAAGAGGTACCCCCAGGTACTCGGATCAGATGTAGCAACTTGGCCATTGTCGCGCAAACCTTTTGCAAGCAGAATTGTGATTTGGGGCTGATGGAATCGACAAATATCTCAACTCCAGAATGCCAGAACATCGTTGCCTTCATCAATTTGATGCGCTCTTCCCTCAGCCTGATAGCCTTTCCTTCCTCGACTCTCAGCTCAGCTTCGCGACTTCCTTCACTTCCTCTGGGTCTGAATGCAGAGCTGCAGAATGGCCTGTGCACGGTCTTGTCCTTGGCAAAAGGTACGTACCGACGGAGGGGTGGATGAGGGGTCCAGTTCATCCCTGGCGTCCTTGGAATTTGATGATCTCGAAAACATGTTGATGTCCAGAGATCATTCCCATTCACCCGTATCCCGACAATAACCACCAGTAGGCTCCCGTTTTCGTGAGGCCGGCAAGACGAAAGTGCGAGGTAGGATTGAAGATATCGATATCGGTGACGCGAAAATGCGATGGGATGAATCAAGACATTTCGCCGGCTCAGCTGCAAATGGTGGCTTGGAGAAGGAAACTGGCCAATCATTGTTGCGCCCAAGCCTTCTTTCGTAATCTCCAAAATCTTGAAATGCTGATTTTTACGAGTGCCAGTCGGTCGTTACACGTAACCATTTCCCATTCACTCAGCATCTCCAAGGAGTCAAGGACGTCTGATTTGACTTTTTTTCATCTGATCTGGCCATTGTGCATTGCATTGCCGACGGTTTTTGTTTGTTCGACTAGCGACGAAGGCTTCGAGGCAGTGCCGTGCGCGTACCCGAGTCTTTCATGACTTCATCACCTGGCAACCCCTCCATTTCCGCCATCCCATCCTAGCCAACGGCCCGGCAAGCAGGAAGAATCGGTCCGGCATATCCAAAAACAGGCGAGATTCAGTCCGATTGCGTGGGTCACGGGCTCCGAAAAAAATAGAGCCTTTTCGTGACATCCCCGCTTCCACCGGTCCCCCGAAACAGCTGCTCCCAGCTTTCAAAGCCAAAGAGGTACCTTTTTTTTATCGAGAATTAGCAACATCACCCACCGAACATCCAGGAAATCCGGACATCTCGGTCGAAACCAAAAAAGAAGTCAAGGGACTTTCCGTGGTCCACTTCTTCCACTTCCATCTGTTGCGCGCGCGTTTGCACTTTCCAGTCACAAACAGCTTTCCGCATCCAGTGCCGCCTTCCCCACCCGAAATACCGGCCTGCCGCTAGAGCCAAATTCCCAAAAGGCAGGCACCTCCAAAGCCCCAGCCACCCCTCCCCGGCGCAACTCTCTTTTTTTGACTCGAGGTCCTCTCCAGGTTCTCTTTCCCGTCGAGGTACTTCTGTCTATCAGCAGTCGAGAAAGAACGAGTGTCGTCCCCCAAGACCCAAGACCCCTCCCAGCAAGCAACAGCAGCAGCAACAGCAGCAGCATCGCACACTGGGAACTCTGAGAGTACTTTGCAACAACCCTCCATCGAGGTCAACAAGAGGTTCCCGCCCTCGCGCACATCACCCCGTCAATCGACAATACCTCAACTCTACCTCTACCTCAAACAGAGACGTCAAAGTCACCTCTACACACATAGCTTTGCATCGCATATCGCACGTCGCTCCGGTCGTTCGGGACTTGGGTGCAACTTTAACTTTGTTCTATCGACACGGCCAATTCTGCCAGTAAGTGCATCTCTGTTAAAATCGATATCCCCCCATCCCCCCCTGTCATCACCCATCATGTTCTATTCATATCATTCGCCCTTTTTTTGCTCACTTGCACACATCCCGATCCATCCATTTTCCCTTTTGCGCGATATCGTGTGCAATTGCACTGCTCTGCACACTGCCTCTGCTCTGCCTGTCTGCCTACCCCATCTGGTTACTCTCATTTTCACTTCCGAGTTTATCCAGTGAGGGATGGTGTTTTATCATGACTCCCAGCCTGCCGCAACATCAAAAGATGCAAGTTGATGCCACCACCACTGTCACTGCTCTGCCCGGCTTCATCAACCAACCAACCCCCAGAGTGAGATTTATCATGCAGTGGTGGAAAAGCTGTCGGCACCGACGCCTCCAAATTGCCCTTCATCCTTTTCCCCCTTCCTCTTCCCTCTCCTGCGTGCAGCCATTCAACCCCATTCGCAGGTTTGGGGTGACCCAAGACCGTCACTTTTTCTCGGTGCCAGTGTGTGGTCGCCACACGGGCAGTGAGGAAG